TCTTTCCAGGGGTCAAAACACTGTAACCCGGCTCAAATATGAAACCGCTGGGTGCTACGTGGCATGAATACGCTCATTATTCTACATAAATGCTACTTCCTCCCCCTCTGCAGATGTATGGTAAGTAAGCTCAGGCTCAGACTCACAGAGAAATGTCTGTGTTTGTCCATGCATGTAGAGTGTGTCTCGGAAGGCGGGGGGGGGGGGGGGGCAAATATTACCACTGCTTATATTAATGACATTCCTGGCACTGGTGTGAAAAGGAGCTCTCTGGCCTCCCCCTGCCTGCCACAGCATTTGTAAACAACTCAAAAGGAAGCAGCACGTAACACCCGATCCCCACGCACTCAACACTCAAGAGGGCCGCCATGTACCACAGCAAAGACTCATTTTCTAAACTTTTCAATGGTTTTCCTGTGTAAATATACGTGCTGCAGATAAATCACTTTCAGTTGCTTTCATCATCACAGTCGAGTGTTTAAATACCATAATTTCTTTGAATTTAGGGGAAGAATAAAGCAGGTGCTTGTGCATGTGTGCATGAAGCTATAAATTCCAGTGAGCAGCGTAATCTTAGATTGCTATCACCACAGAGCTGCTATGAATACTAATTGAGCACCACCTCCTCTTCCACGGGTAAGACTGTATTTCAATAACAGAGCAGTAAAACTTCTGTTCCGCGCAGGATCGCATTTCTTTTGCTGCTAAATGATATATGTGCTTTGAGACCTTATTTACAGACACCTGCTAAAGTCAGACTCGTGTTTGAAGAGGTTGACAGTTCTGCCAAAAATGCACTGAAATGGAACATACATAAAGTCGTCTTTCTTTACATGGTAAGACTCCAGGTATCTTCTAGAATCAGTCAGTTTTCAGTGTTCTGTTTTCATAAATAGGAAGTAAAGCCATCTGGGTTTTAGATTTTAGCATTTCAAGAGATAATGATATATCTCGATGCACTGATAGATCACATGCAGGGATAGCTTTGTTTTAGCAAAGGAAGGACATGAATGAAGTTACAAGTCAGTATAACTGATCTTTGTTTTCGCACATTCTGACCACAAGAACCACCGCCCTGTGTAGTACCACTCATCATGAATGTGTGACGTTCAGTTGCTACTCACTTATGAGGAGTCACTGCATTCGCATTGCAATGACCTAGAGCACAGTTTACTGGGATTACAACATCCCCAGTTGTGTTTCTGGTAAATTCTTTGCTGTCTAACTTAGCATTAAAAGCAACGAATACCTAAAAAAATAATATGAAAAAAAAATACTATCAAATGACATATGCTGACATTTTAATTTTATATGCTAAAAGTTAACAATCTGTCTTTACGCACCCTGTAGATTAACAGCAGTTTAGCATTCTTTTGGAGTTGTGTCTCTGGCCAGCTGTTTCCTGTAAGTCTAACAATCACCAAGTCTTTGAGGTATGTTTTGGTTGCCATCAATTCTCACTCATTGGCTGCTAAATAATACACAATGTTCAAATTTTTCTGTCAGAGGCTTGGTAGCACAAACTGGGTTTAAGAAACTTGTTTGCTTCAAACAGCTTCCTGCTTCTGGTCAAAATGACTCTGATGAGAGCTGTGAGAGTGGGTGATAATTCCATGTTGGTTCACATCTTTCACACTCACACACACACACACACACGCTTCTGGTCAAAATGACTCTGATGAGAGCTGTGAGAGTGGGTGATAATTCCATGTTGGTTCACATCTTTCACACTCACACACACACACACACACACACACAGCAAAGTAATTTATTTTTAACATAAAAACATTGATCATAGCAGCTTTAATAAAAAGAACAAAACGTGTTTTGGTTGCTGTTCCAGTCTACAGTATACCTAAAGATTTATACTGCTGCACTTGGCTAGAGGTCAGAAAATACTGAAATAAAAAGAAATGAAGATAAGTGAATCCATCCTCAAAGGGGCACAGAGTGTAATGAAGAACTGCAGGAAAGCGAAGAGCTGGTAGTTTGTTATAGCAGTCTTTTCATTTCAGGCCTGTGTTTTGAATTATACTCAGCCATCTTCTAAGGAAAGACACAACTAGGTGAAAAAAAAAACGTTACATGAGTTGCCATGACCTGAAATTGAAAAGGGTAATAAAAAAAAGGAGCTGCTTTTTCCTCCAGGTGAAAATATTGAACTCAAGATACAAAGGAAGCCCACATGTGAGGCATGAAAGAGTGAAGTCATCTTTCCGAACACCGTTTGAACTTTGAAGTCCGCTGGAAAGAACAGGATCTAATAAATCTAGCCGAGCTCGCCCAGTGTTAGTCAAATAACCAAAAGAAATGAATGCAGGCTTTGACAGCTTTCATTATAAAGTATGTTCACATGAGCAATGCTTTTGTGCCAATTCTATTAATTCAATGTGCCAAAACCCAGTTTCTGTCCATAAAAAAGGCCCGTCTTTGGAGCATTTTTTCATTCTCTTCTCGGTAGTAAGCAAGCAGAGTGGCACATATTCTTATTGCCTGGTGGTGGATTTCATTTCATCCCAAGTATTGAGCATTTGATGTTACATACATCAAATTAAAATCCATTGACTACATCTGGGAATTTAGCAGAGCTTTGTGTGCAGCTACACAGCCAGAGAGGAAAGGATTTCACAGCTTTGTGAAGAGAAGGGTGAAAAATGTCTATGTGGACTGACTTCACTAAAAAATTTGCATGAGTCATGCTAAAACATCTCACTTCATTAGCTGTGTTTACCTCCGGGTCCCAGTCAGACAGACTCACAACAACAGGAGGAAACTTTCACCATGCACCAGATCCATACTCTGGTGGAGAATAACAAATAAGTCATTGTTAAGCACAGTGCGGGACTATTATTCCACCTATCCACTGCCAAATCCAACACTTACTTACCGAGCAGTGGGAGGATGAGCAGCAGGACTGTGGACCTACTCGTGGTATTTCTTACGGCGCTGGAAAAACGTATTTCTTGCTGAACAGGGATGCAGCCTGGTGCAAATTGAAACATGTCGGAACATTTGGTCATAGTCACACATTTCCTGTGCTTTGAAGAACTAAAAAAAAAAAATCCTGCCTTGCTCTGGTGGCCTTGGTGTGTCTCCAAGGCCCCCACGGTGTGTTTAGTTTGTGCTCAGGTCATCCATCACACAAGCTCCTCGTTGGTGGGGGGGTAGGGGGGGACTCATCTCTCACCCCTGCTGAGACTCAATCTGGAGGCTGGAAGAACTCTCCATTGTGCCTGCAGCATCCTGCACCCCTCCAGCTATGATCTGACTGCATTTTATAGCACTTTTGTTGAGTTAAACATCAACATTGATAAAGCACAATTAACCCCTGAATGCACACATATGGTTTAATTTATAGATTTTTGTTCATCGACCTGCAGACATGAGTAAAAAAAGGGTGCAATCCTGTTTTTGCAAACCCCACTTAAAATGACAAGCATGACTACGAAAGAGATGAATTTCTAACTCTCTGCCTCTTTGCGTTCCTTTACATTCTCTAAAAACACATTTTTTCACCGGGGATATGGCCGGCTGTCCAAGGCCGCTTGGATGTTTGCCAAAATTAAGAATGTACTTTGAAACATTTATGTTAATTTTAACTGAGCAGAGAAAAGGAAGAGGAATGCATCCATTTTCTTTTTCTCCATTTCTGCTACCATGATTTAGTGAGGAACATGACTTGGACAACAGACTATCTAAATGAATTATTATTGATTCGGATCGATCATATACGCCTCTGAAATTATATTGACTCCCCTGCTGTTCCCTCCAGAGAGCCTGTAAGTAGCTGGCAGCTCTCCTATAAATCAGCTTTCAAATTTAACATTTACAGACATGGCATTCAGCATTGAGTGGGTTTTTGAGTCAGGAGATACTTCTGTGTCTCAGCTCTCCCCTGCTCTCTAAAGAACAGTCTGTCTCCTCTCCTCCTCCTCCTCCTCCCTTGCCCTGCCACCTCCCTCACAGCTGTATAATTCATGTGGCATTGTATTTATTGTGCAAACACAGAGTGCGGGAGCCCATGTTAGGTAAGAACAGGCTGTGGCGTCAAACACCTTGGGCCTGACAGGGGAGAGCTTAAGCCCTGCACTGCACAGCTGCTAAAAACAAGTAGCCAGCACGCAGGCACCAGAGAGCAGCCGGGATCCATTGTGTAACAAATCATTTTCACAATCCGCACACATAATCACGAAGAGAATTTTATCACAGGTACACAGCAGGAGAGGAATGACAATATTAACACAGATGGTAATTATGAGATCCTTTGTTTAAAAAGTGCTGGAAATTGTGCTGTATCATAGAGCAGCACTGAGGGAATGCTGTTTGGGAAGGTTTAGGTGCACAGCTACAGCTACAGCTGGCTCAAGGAACATCAAAATGTCATTGGTGAAGAGCAGGGAACACAACCAGTGACAGGTGTGTCCCTCCGCCGTGGGGGCTATCTAGTTCTGTTAACCCTGTCGTGGGAAGAGTGGAGCCAAACGTGATTTGATGTCCCTCTTGTCTCTGGCTGGCAGCAATAGTTATACAGGCTATTGCGTATTATAATCACAACAGAGTCTTAGCTCAGCTCTTCGTTTCACGCACAACCGAGGACAACCTCTGAACACAGAGGACCTTGAAGAGGACTTGGTCACATTAAACAGACATGTACATACATGACAGTCTCTAATCCTTCGACCATGCAGGTGTTTGATTTTTTTTCCCAATCGTGTTTAATGAATCATATTGTTCCCGATGCTTTTAAAGGGTATTTTCGATAAAACCTGCACTGATAAAGTAGTCCGAAGCACATGAAAGGCAAACCACTACCGTAAATAGAACCATGCGGGTGATTGAGCACAAAATCATCCAATCACAGCTGCAGCTGGGGTGGTGGTTGGTGACGAAACAGGGTTGGACCAATAGAAACGCGTTACTGGGTGTTGACCTCTGCGAGCCGCATCACCACCTCCTCCATGTCCGTGGCGGAGGACTACTATAAAAACAAAGCAGCCCAAGTTTTAAAGGGCAGAGTTGTAAAAACTCCCAGGCTGTGGGGAGTTAGCTTGGTAGCCTGTGAATCGGAATTCAACTGTACCCCACAGGAGCAAAAATCGCCTGGAGCATTACAAAGACGCAACAAAAATTTTGTATATCCTTTAGAAAGCTACACTAGAAGCTGTGCAAGTGTTTTCTGGAGCGGACTCTGGCTTGTACAAGAAGGACCTGCTGTGAATTTCCATGTAAGTAAATATTACCGTAACGTCGCCATAACGCTAATTTCTCAGAAACGTAGACATTCGTGCATTATTTTCTTCATTTCTCTTAAACTGACACTCGACGGTGTCATTGAACGACAGTGTTATTGTCGAATATTCAGGCTGTAGCCATCGAGCTAATTAAAATGCTACGTAGCTTGCTATAGGCGAAGGTGGTCGTCAGCTCCGATTACAGACAAATATGTTCTTCTGTCGCCGATAACAGTGACGCTTCATAACTTATCGTTTGCTCTTCGTATAGCTTGCTTCGCACGATGTCACCGGGAGGTAACACTGATAACCGGTTAAACATTGACAGTGAAGTGGCGTCCAGATAGCTAGCTTGCTGGATTTCTGTTCACACCCTTCATTAAGTTTGCAGCTAATGCTAGCAGGTCGGCAATGTCAGAGCCGACCGTGGTGAGGAAGGACGGCGTTTGAGTATTTCATACTCGCGTCGTCGTGTAATTAAGCGGCTGTCTGCTGTAGAGAGGGCTTTATGATCGTGGTTAGACTTTGAATGATGATTATGTAACAGCAATTCTCGTCGCAAAGCTCGTGCGTACCCCTCTGCTTACTGTATAGCTCAGTCGATGCTCGGAAAAGCACCAGAACAGCCTGGTTGGGTGATAATAAAACTCCCACTTCGACGCACGACGCAGGAGTTTCGTCTAAACATGTCCCCGTGCCAACATGAGGCGATCGAAAATCCTTGTGACTATTGACACCTGCCATCAGACCCACCGCCCTCCGCAGAGGTCAGCCATGGGTGCTGTCACACCAGACCGCTGGGGAACACACACTGCTGACACCGTCTCTGAGTCAGTGGCCTGTGTTTATTTATAGCTGTTGATGTTGTACAGCTGAGATACAGCAGCGCTGTGCAGAGGGGGAGTGAACACACAGCACTGGGCGCAACTACACACCAAATGTCATTGACCACAAAGGTGCTGCTATGAACTATTTATTTTTTCTTCTTTCAATTAAGTTATCAAATATTTAATCGATTAACCTAAACGAGCAAAACATCAAATCAAATTGACTATTCTGTTTAAGTGCGTTTCATTTGACAAACTATATGCCATCTCACAAAACAATCCAAGGTTACTCTGAGAAATATGCTCAAAATAATAGCAGCAGTTGAACAGATCTCAGATAAGGACAGCACAAGTCCCAACAAGCTCCACACATACAATCTGACAGGAACTAGAATAAGCCCAGAGTCTAACCTAAACATTTTCTCAAAAACATATTTAATGGTTTACGGTTTTGAGTGTATTTAGCAGCTACAAAAATGTAAAAACTCTCCCTGCTCTGGTGGTGCACCTTCCACAACAGTGCCTGTGTGTTTTCTTTTCAGGTGCTTGCATGTTGCGCTAGTGCTGCTTTGGTCCATCAAAACTTTGCATCTGTTCTGTGACTCCCAAACTTTTAACCCCTTGGATATTTGGAAAATTTTAAACATTTGGCATTCTGTTTTCTAAAACACTGAGTGCACCCAGCCAATGACTAGAGCCAAAAACAGCTGACGTCATTACACAACAATCACAAACTTTGTTGCAGTGAATTTTAGAAAAAGATGTTTAAAAATTACATGTTAATTACAAGTATTGACATTGATGCTGTTGTTGGTGTTGTCTGCTATTCACAGCAGTCAATATACTGTTACCAGCCACAGGTTCTTAATGCTTTCATATTCTTTCCATTTCAGGATCCTGAACCCAACTGTGCTGCAGGAAGGATATTCAATTTGGCAACAAGCACTCAGAGTTTTTTCATTACACTGATCACTGCTGCCTTGGAGGTTTTTGCAACGCTCAGAAAAAGCAACTCTGTGACAATAAAAGAATCACCCTCGCCACTGAAGCAGCTATGCAGCTTGAAATTCAAGTAGCACTCAACTTTATTATTTCCTATTTATACAACAAACTCCCTCGACGACGTGTGAATATCTTTGGCGAAGAGCTCGAGAGGCAGCTGAAGAAAAAATATGAAGGCCACTGGTATCCGGATAAGCCATACAAAGGTTCGGGATTCAGGTGCATCCATGTAGGGGAGAAGGTGGACCCTGTGGTGGAGCAGGCAGCCAAAGAGAGCGGGCTGGACATTGAAGACGTCCGGAATAATCTCCCTCAGGACCTTAGTGTGTGGATTGATCCATTTGAGGTTTCCTACCAGATTGGGGAGAAGGGACCGGTCAAAGTGCTATATGTGGATGATAACAATGAGAACGGGTCAGAGCTGGACAAGGAGATCAAGAACAGCTTTAATCCTGAGGCCCAGGTCTTCATGCCAATCAGCGACCCTGTCGGGGCTTCCTCAGAGTCCAGCTCCCCCTCCCCTCCTTTTGGGCAGTCCGCTGCCGTGAGCCCATCCTTCATGCCACGCTCCACCCAGCCCTTAACCTTCACCACTGCCACCTTCGCCGCCACCAAATTCGGCTCCACTAAAATGAAAAGCAGCGGCCGTGGAAACAACGGCAACAGCGGCAGTAGCAGCAAGGTGGCCCGCACCTCCCCTACCAATAACCTGGGTCTGAATGTCAACACCCTACTGAAGCAGAAAGCCATCTCCACCTCCATGCACTCATTGTACGGGCTGGGCCTGGGTCAGCAACAGCAGCAGCAGCAACAACAACAGAAGGCCTCTGCTCTGTCTCCCAACGCCAAGGAGTTTGTGTTCCCCAGCCTCCAGGGCCAGTCCAGCCCTGGAGCTGTGTTCCCTGGGGAGGGCTCCCTGGGGCTTGGCCCACTGCAGTACAACAATGCCTTTGACATGTTTGCAGCCTACGGAAGCCTCAACGACAAGTCCCTTATGGATGGCCTCAACTTCAGTCTGAGCAACATGCAGTATTCTAACCAGCAATTCCAGCCAGTCATGGCTAACTAAACTCATCATCAAGATGTTATTTATGAATGATGGTGGCTCAAAGAGAAGGAAAAACAAAAAC